CTAAACCAGAGGAGCCAAGTCGAGGGAGTAGGCCACTGGGTGAGTCCACCGCTACAGGAAGGAGAGCTACGCTCATCAACAATGAAGGAAGGTGATACCGGACGCCGTCGACCTCTCTTCACCAACGATGACCACGGTCGGTCGTCCTTGCCGCACAAAAGCGAAGACCCTTTCGGTCGCCACCTAGTGCTGCCGCTCTCGGATACAAGATCCACAACAGGTCGCAACCCACCAAGTTCCCACCGCCGCGCCCGCCGACCATCGAACAAAGCCAACCTTGGATACCACCGGTACCACATCAAGGCCTTGCCCAGACCCTCCACGCCCAACGCGTCTTCGGCCTCCCCCAGCTACGCCAATGAAGAGAGCCACACAGGGGCGCCGCCCCTGAGCCCACACCACCCGTAGCAAAACGGATTTGGGCCCGGGAACCCGTGTCAATTGCCAGGTGGAGCGACCGCCGCTCAAATCCCATGGGGCCACCGCCCTAGCATCCCGACTCTATCGCCACGCAGCGCGCCTAGAGGCATCGTTGCGCCACAGCCGAAGGAGTCCTCCTGGAGGTAGGAGGCGAGCCTGCCATCGTCGTTCGCCGGATGAGCGAAGCATATGTCCGGCTTCCTCCGGCGGCGACCAAGGTTCGCCCGAGCCGCGTCCCTGGAGGCAACGCGAGCCACGGGTCCAAGTACAATTATGTAGGTGGCTTGATGTATAAAATGGACGCAACTATATTTCTTTGACAAATATATGTGGCATATATGTGTGATATAATTTTATGCACGCATTTATAGTTTTTTGTTTTTGTTTTTTGAGAATAATAACAAGAGGTTCGAGGGTCGACCTCAGTGAGAAACTTCCAACTCTCCTTTTTTTTTTTTTGAGCTCCTAGAGTACACTGCGGTCTACGGGATCAGGTGGCCTGGACTTTGACCCAGCAAAAAGGGCTAGGTTTGGCCTACAGCGCAATTAAACCCACCCGGTGGCTGGATTCCAAATTCCCAAGTCCAAACCAGTCCGGTGTCTGTCACTCTCGCCCTAGACCGCAGGCCCACCGCTGTCGCCACACCCCCACCGCACCTGCAACGTTTTCGTTGGACGCACCGCCGCGACGTACACTACTGCTACTCCGGTCGCCGTCCCTCCGCCCCAATCAGGCAACCACCCTCCTCAACAACTAC